AACTTCGCCGTTCGTCATTTAAGCTGCACTTTACGAAAAATCTTTATTTCTGTTGATGACAGCTTTCGTTTCGCTGTGATTCTGTGAGCCACTAAAGCACGTCCGTTTCTCGTAATTGCCTCATTCTCCTGCAGTCGTAGGCCGCTCTTCTAGACTAAAACTATATGATTTTACGACGTTTCCGGGTGTTTTTGTTGATGGACTGAAGTTCGTGCTCGCTTTGAATACAACGTAATCAGTCAGGGACGATCCCTGTTGTTTGCCGATTTCTATTTTGTCAGATGCACCGGAACTGCTTCAAAGATAAGCGGAGAAGCTATATGAACACTTTACGAGACATCAAAGATGGGTCCTCGGTATCTAACGGATAAGAGCGTGACGAAAGGATAGTCTGCGTTCGGATTCGAATCCTTCGAAACCTCCCTAATCCTACATCCTTGCGATGGCGTTTGTTTTTCTTTTGCATTTATGGAGACTGCCAGTTGTCTTTGATTGACATTGGACCATATACTTATTTTCGTTGTATTAACGTTGGCCCCAGGCGGAATTTGAAGATTTGGATGAAAACTTGCACCTCCGACTTGCTTCGGGTGGTCAGGCACAGCCTTGGGAACATGCAGCTGTAAAGACGCCAATAATAGCTAAAGATACGGGACCATCATGCAAAAGTCATCAATTGGACGAGAAATTAAAGCCCTCAAGGGAGGCGGAAGAGGCGAACGGCTACGGCATGAAATGAATTGAAAGGACGACAAGGGGATCACGAAGATTAGGGACGGACATGAACGATGCAAACTGAAAATCGCTCTATGTAGGATTGACCCGAAAAATTGTGATTGCTTCACTATTTCTTGTTATGTGGTGTCTGAGTATTGAAGGCCTTTGATCATTTGTCATGAAAGAAGAATCTGACAAAGGATCTCTTTTGAAGAAAGAACAGCGATCCCCATTGACAGTGTATGACTGAAGTCACACTGTGATTTCATCACAACGAAAGTTGCTACCGGATAGGGATGATAACGAAGGCATATTTCTCAATATTTGGGCTGTGTAGATTGCAGCAACAAACTGGTGGGAAATCACAGATTGAAAAGATGTCTCTGTGGTCGATTGGTAGTAAGGCTTCGTTCCCATCAGTATTTTTCACTTGGGGTATGAATCAAAGGCTGGTTTCAGTGGTTTGTCCAGAGCTAATATTGCACTCATTTAAACTACGACTACGTATTTTTTGTCTCTGCTTTCTGCCTCCGTAAAAGGAGTTCCTCAAACGTAAGATGCTCAATTCACGCCAACAGCAATAAGGTATGAAGTTTCATATTCAAATTATCATTGAAGCTGCTAAACAACAAAGAAAATCAGTCACCGAAGTGTATGGATCCGCACTAAGACTCATTCGATGAGCATTTAGAGCGGCCCTGTCCTCACTTGAGAAAATCAGATAACTTGAGGTGTTGGTGAGACTTCCCACGGGTTGAGGAACGTTTTCTCATCATTGTTGTGGTATTGAGGTGATTTTCGCGCAGTGTAGCATTTCTGATGAATGATTGGAGGGCACTGTCAGCTGCTTATTGGGGCTGTCTCCATCCAGTCGCATAAACAACACCTTCGCTGTGATAGTCAGTCGAGTTCATCAATGAAAACAGCTGGTTTTGATCTTATTTCGCTGCTCTCACTACGCTTTTAGCACTAGTCTTTCTTATTCTGTTTGTCATAGCGTCTTTTGTGCTGAGCTCAGATTAAAGAGGTTCGATGGAGTGTGTTTGAAGGGGGACGACTTTATATTACAGAAAATAATCGAACACAATCTCGAATGGAATCAATTTTGTGCTGGATTCGATAATTCATTGTAAATAGTTCCTGTTTTGTTTTCATCGGCCCAGAGTTTCATGTCAAGCCTTTGACGTTGTCTTTCCAGGGCAATTATTGTGAAGGTCCCATAGGTTGCACACATCGAAATGAGTCTAATCGCACGGGGATGCCTGGGTACCGGGCGTTAGCGATCAGATGGGGAACCCAAACGTAACCCTCTGACTGTTCGGTCACTTGTATATATAGTATACGATAGATTAAATTATCGTATTTGTTGAAACTATCACTAGGCTATTTCGGGTTAGTGTGTTTAGAGCCAGAGGGAATCTGATGAAAATTTATTGTTGTGATTTCAGCCTCTGCGATCGCCAGGTTACGGCACATACGGTCCTCAATTGGCGTTATCTGCTGACGGTGACACACTGAGCGTTCATTCACGGAGCTCTTTGAGAGTAACGTCAAAACGGCAACCTGATCATACGAGTAAGTTGGTTCTTGTCATTATACCTGAATGAAGTACAAGATATTTTGGTGTCAATAACCATTTGTATTGATATGTGGAAGAAAAGTTCATCTCATAGGAACACCGTTATAAGGCTTCCACAGGAACATTGGTTTTGAGAAACCCTCTGGATAGCCTCCAACTTCTCTCCTGCTTCAATCTCAATATAGTTGATTATAATTAAAATATTCCTGTGCCGGGCGAGGTTGTTAGATGGAACAATTTATTAAATCAATGACCTAACGTTTCGACGTTAGTTCTCCTCAGAGGCCAAGGTTCCACCACTCAGGCGGATATAAAAATCAGACTGTCAGTAGCGATTTTCTTCAAAGTAGCTTCAAAAGGAGCGTGTTGGCCGCTTATTTGGTCTAAGCGTTTTGCTGCACTATGCTATGCACCGCAAAGGGCGCTCATCATGTAGCACGCAATCTTCGTGAAAGCAAGGAAACTCGGCAGGAAAAGAGAAGAACCGAAAAGGAAGAAATCTTTGAAGTGTCAGAGCCAATCAACTGTCATGCAATCCACTTAAGTTCTTATTCGCTAGCTGCATAATTTGATTAGATTAGGGCTTGGTAGAACAGGGTAATGTGCTGAATAAGGTTCATCAACGTTGGATAGGGAAAAACTATGAAACAATTGAAAGGTCCCTTCGTAACCATTCATTTTATTAATTATACTTGTATAGAAAACTGACGATCAATACAATTTTCTGTGAATAAGGAGAACAAGCTCGACTGGCCTTCAGAGAAGTACTCTCGCCTATGTATGATTCGATTCTGGCTTGCAAACGGTCTTCCAGCTCTCCTCAAGGATCGCCCGACTGGGCGTATAGGCAAGAACATTCGTGACGCGAGCAGTTCCGTCTCAAGCAATATTGCGCATTTTTGCATTTATAAATATCTTCGTACATTTGCGACGCTTGCTTTCAGCCATCACAAGAATTACACAAGCATTTGATTATTTATTATGACGGTATTTATGTCGTCCGACGCCGCTGTGAGCTCATTCGACGTTGCAGTTTTGTGCCCATCGGAATTCCTTCGATATACATACTGGGCGCTCCGTTCGCTTCAGCCCGGTGACTGGAGATTTTCCATCCTTGATTAGTAGTGAAAGCGATAAAAGCTCTAGATTTCACATTCAATTTTAATGAGTCTATGATTTCATGGAGTTTCTCGTCTAGCTGTCGCCTTAGTCTATCGGCTTCTCTCCTCAAATTGCTTCTTTTTGGAACTACATCACTAGTATACACGATTTTGTTCTCATTTAGTCTGGAGTAGTATAATGCTTTTATTTGGCAAGTCTGAAATCGTTCCGGTGTCTAAGAAGACCGTTTATGACAAAATGTAGCGCTGTGTATTGATGGTGGAACAGGAATTAGTGCTGGCTTTGCTGAAAAGGCTACCATGGTTTTTCTTTTTCACTCAGATCTCGCTCAAATGCTTCCCATCTACATTCTCGTATGTGCCTAGAACCGCTTTTCAGAGTTTAAATTTTCTGTGCGCATACCCCAACCGTTTTTTCCATATTTACCTAATGTGAAAATTTCAGTACCACCATTCGCTGGATATCATTCCCTGGACCGCAAATCTCACTTGTCCGAGTACTATCGTGAATCATCACCTAATCGGCTGGGAGTCTTCGATCGCACGTCAATGGCAGCACTACTCAGTCCACGTCGAATACCACAACCACCACCGGATAGTATGCAACGCCATAGCATAAACGGTAACTTCGCCCCCCGGTTGAATAAGTTTGTTCATGACGGGTCTACCGTATTCTCTACTTACCTTTCCTATCGTTGTTACGTGTGTGATGGTGTGTGGGTGTGGTTGTGTTGGTAGTAGTAATGTTGGCTTTTCGCATGCTTCCCGCTTAATAGAATCGTGGTGAAAGGAGAGCAGTTTGGCTCGGAGCCTTTTTGGTGCCTTGTCTCGGGTAGGATCTCAGCATAGGAACAGGTTGAGACTCTCGAATGGCTGCACCAGAGATTTAACCAGAGTCTCTAACTCCTCTCCTTGAGCTACGTGCTATCTTAGTGCTATTCTGCGTGCTCTTCAGCTTCGAGAGCCTGCCTTAATTCGTCGGGTATGTCGCGTTCGATGGTACTACTTGAATCGGACCCTACTACTTCGCCAGCGCCTCGAACCCGACGAGGCGCCAGTCCGCGTCGTCAACAACGTCTCCCGCTGTCCGTCGCTAGTCCTGTCAACAGCAAGGGTATTTCAGTTTTCCTTTAACACTACTCTCACATCTGTTTTTTACCTTCTCCATTTCTAAACATATCAGCCCCTTTTCTTCTGTGCTTCTATGCTGAAAAACAATGGCTGGTTTTCAGTTTTGGTGGCATTTTTCGATTTTACTCCATGGCACCTTGCCAACCTTTGAATGGAGTGTTGAGTTTCAGGCTTGCCTTGATCCTTTTTGCAATGTAGATTCAATTTCGATTTTTGGCTGTGTTCTTGGTGTCCAAAAGGCTCCCAGAAAAGGGAGTTCCAAAGAAACCCGTAACAGTAGGGGTATGGAGGAAGGGGGAGGGAGGAACTGTATTGAGAATGAGGAACCAAGGTATTTCTTTCTACTTACGCGCAGCACGGATTGCGAACCAATCATAATGGGGTGGGAGACGGGCGTTAGGAACGATTTTGGGTAATCGATTTGCCGCACGCGGCTCTCGCGGACCTCTCATTCGCCGTTATTACAGCTCTAGCGTTATGCGATCATTATTTTATGCATAATTCTACTATTAGAACTTTTGTTCTTGTATTTCTTACCTGCTGCTGCATCCTGCTACATTCCTTCGCGCGCGACGCCCCTCTCACCGCGACGCGACCATTTCGTTCCTAACGCATCATATCCTAATGGGGTGGTTTCCTTTTGTTGAGACTTGAATATAACAAATTTTTAAAGTCTGGGATAGAGCCATAACTCTGCGGAGTGTGGTTGCTCTGCAAAGTTGTAGTGACCGAAACGGATTGGTCCTTTCTCGAAGCGGATCGGAAAAGCTTGATATGCTATACATATTTCTATGCTCTCAGCGAGTTTTAAGTGTGTGTGAGTGTGTTTTAAGTGTGCTCTGTGACAGACGAATGAGTGAATACTCCCGCATCACTTATTGCTTATTCTATCAGATTCCTGAATATTGTCCTGATCCAATGGCCAACGCAACCTTTAAGTTCCTCCTAGCGAATGCTCTCCTTTTTTCCTATTAACTATACCACTAATGCCTTTTTTCTTTGGACAGTAACAAATTGCTAACAAGCCATCTCCAACCGTAGCTTTAGCGTTTTTCAACCCTTATGTAGACACCGGTTACAATGAATTTTCCTTAAATCTCTATTCTTTACGACTATGCAGACCCTGTACCAATAAAATATCGCTTCTTAGTAATTATTCTGCCAGGTTTATTCCGTTTATTCAACTAGCGTTCAGGATCTCTGTCTGCTCGAGGACCTCAAAACTCGGATCGGATTTACGCCAACTTGCGTGACGGCATTCACCTACATCGGCTCGCTGACGAATGCCAGCTCAACCACGGACTGGCTAAAAGCGAAGGCAAGTTCTACCACTCTACTCATACCTAAGTTACATTGGTAAAGCATTTCTCTTTCATGGGAAACGGCTATTTCAGGTGCTGATGTCCTCGGTTCACAGAACTCTCTCGCCAGTGCTGCCTGTAACTCGGTTAGTAGTGATATTATTACTCAACTTATGGAAATCTCCCAAAAAAAAAAAGAGATCGTCTTCTCGATATAATAGTATTGCTTCGTTTCTGTAAAATTTCTATTGCAATGAATGGCTGAATGATGAAATCATGTTGTTCTCTCTCTATGTTCGATGTATTTCAGCTGAACGAAAGATACGAGGCCGACATTCGTAAGATGGCTCGAGATTTGGAGGGGTATCGTCACACAATCAGCAAGTTGACTCGAAAACAAGAAGACTACTCGCATGTCATGGAGATGTTCCAGAGCAAGTTGTCACAGTTGAGCAAGCAAATCGATAAATCACTGTTGAAGGTGAGAATACCGTCAGATTTCGTTTTCGGACCACTGAAAGGCCCTACGTATACGTTGATACATAGTTACTGGGTGAAGCCCATCCCAGTATAATTATTAGTCTAATATTTGCACGTTCGTTTTGGTTTGGCATAACCTAAGTATCCTTTTGTACCTTCCTGGATTTGGAAAGGTTCCAGAGTTTCTGTCCTGCTCAGCTCTGATCCTGTTTTCTACCTTGCCACTTCACTTCCTGTCGTGCTCACAACTTGAATTTCCTCCCTCTTTTCAGAATTAGTATAAATGACCCCACTTCTCTAACTTCCCGTACTTTTCTGATTTCAGTGGGAGTGCAAAACTGATTAGGCTACTTGATACGGCTACGTTCTAAATTTCCTATCCAATAGGGTTTTCTAGTCGGTGCAAATGAAATAATAAAATATGATGAAATGCCTATGTAAAGCAGCCATCCATAGAGCGTATCGTTGATCGACGTCTGAGCATTCCCGTCAGTCATTTGTCCTACAATAATGTCGAATAAATTATTCGCATGCAAAACAGTTTACGAGGCTTCCGCTCTCCAGGGACGGGTTGATCCCGGCAGACAAGCCTGCTAATCATAATGTAAATGATTTTTAGAACTGAGGAACTACTTCGATGGCATTTTATAGAAAAACTGTGAACTGAGCACGTCAAGGGCCGAAAACTTCGAAAAACTCGTTGCAAAAATGGAACTGCGTTTGTTACCACCCGTTGTTTCTGCTTATAAGCTTCGAATCCCCCCTCCCCCTCCCAAAAAAAAGCAAAAAAAATGAAATTTTCTGTCTATTTCATTCTGCTTGCCCTGATATTTGTTGATATTATTTCATGGCGTTTAATCCCAGAGTGACCCTTATCTTTCGTTCTTATCCGTTTTAGTAAACTGATCATTCTGCCCTTTTCATTTTGTCTATGTCCCTACCTCAATCTAAAGAAAATTGCGGTAGTCGCAACCATCACCTAAAGCTCACCAAGAGAATTGCGATTTTGCTTCCCTTGGCTTGAAGCGGATAAATATCCACGGTCCGGCACGCACTCTCCCAAAGGGTCGCTCCTATCTCTAAGAAATCTCTATTGACGTATCTCCATATGCTGCTTTACTACATAGTAATGGGCATTCACATAACAATCCGGCTTCGTCCGAACCTCCTTCCTCTATTAATAATTTTACTTAACCTGGTAGAATTGAGGTAATGTTCGCGAACGCCGCAAACGGTACAGCTGCGAGCTACCGTTCCGACTATCTCGTAGCAAGTTACAGTGTTTGCGCCAATTTTTTCCTACCCAATTCTAACGAACTCCGACTTTTTTATTTAACGAGCTCTCTTATCGAAACTCAGGTTCAGACTTCTCAAGTTTTATTGGGATGTGTCTGATGAAGCTTATGCTGGAGTCCCTTGAAGACCCGACTCATATCTCTCACTTGAGCAAAACCACCGTTTTTCTTTCGATATCATGTGAAAGACGGTGTTCCATACGGAAAGTAAGGGCGGAGGTGGGTTAGGGCCCATGTGGTACTTTACCATACGGACACCAATCGGAGATCTAGTTCTGAATGAATAGAACCAGGGCAAGTCAAGTCTAGACTAACTTATCATGCTTAGCTGGGAGCGCAAAGTCATGGTTGTCATACATTGGTAGGTCTCTGTAAGTCATTATATAGGCACCATTAGCATTCAAAACAACTTGATTCTGAGATAAAATCGACTACACGGGTATATCTCAGTGTTTGGTACATTCCAGCCGGACGATCTGAACAAACTCCGGCAGGATATCGAACAACTACGGCTGGTGAGTGGCCGACTAGCTCAAGGCAGTGACGCAAAGAAAAGCATTGTGAGTTCGTTTTCATTCGTTGAAAACAGTCCCTGCATCGATCTAACGCTTTCGCCCGAAGCATGGTAGGCACTGTGTGTAATTGTGTTTATTTTCTTTGAAAGCTTTATGGTGATTGCAGCCTTGCAGTACTGCCTTTTGCAAGATTTAATGTCGAATTGGTCAATCAAATTAAAACAACATAACTCATGTATCATGACAAATTAAATATTTAAGCGTCCTGTTTTGCAGGAAGGAGCCGGTGAGCTTCTTCGCCAGCCATCAATGGAATCTGTGGCCTCCCTTGCCAGTCACAGATCCTCGATGTCATCGTCGAGTAAGTCAAGCCGCACCGACAAAAGTAGCCTGAACAGTTTTGGCAAATCCAAAAAGAGCTGGGTGAGTCTAAAGAACCTCTTCTCATTTTCGACAATGAAAAGGCACTTTCCTTTTCTGTGCTTAGCCTTCAGCACCGATATTGAAGAGGCTGCACTTCGCCCCTTCAACATCTGTTCAGAAAATAATGGCAAAGTAGCCCATGTTGCCTCATGGCAGTCAATATGCTTGACCAATCATGCTTCAATTTTTAAAAAATAACAGCTTTCTTCGCTGTTTTCTCGGCTAATAAATTTCCTTTTTAGACCAATGGTGTCGATGTGCAGGTAAAATATTTCGTGGTGTAGTTGCTCATTCGTGGTGGTGATGTGCTGATTGCTTAGAATTTCTCATCGTGATGTCAATCGTTGGCTTTACTGCAGATTTGGCTTTACAGATTCGTTCGTCGTTGACCAAGGCGTTTTCAAAAAAGAAGAGCAAAAACGGTGTAATGTCCGATACGGAGAGTTCACCAAATCATGCGCTCGATACAATAAGTGGATCTTCATCGAGGTATCGTCCCTAGCTACCACCGCCTCTAAGCTCGGAGTGTAGACACATTTGAGCTTCAGTTTTCTTTGTCTTTTAAAGCAGATTATAAGAGAACACCAGTGTTGTTCTAGAGGGTAATGAGACTTCTGACATTTCAAACTGACAAGCACTCCATATGTAGGTTAGAAGAAGTCGAAGTGGATGAGCTGAAGAAAAAGTTGGAAGATCGTGATGTGGCGCTGACGGACATCCGATTGGACGCCCTGGACAAGGCCCGAGAAGTGGATATCCTGAGGGAGACAGTGAACCGACTGAAGGTTTGATTTTTCTCAATATACAACGTTCTCCTCCTATCTTGCTTTTGTTTTCGCTCGTCCATTTTGACAAAGTCGCCGCCTTTTACTACTACTTTCTTGTTTTCGGGGTAGTAACTACTTTTTCCTTCTCTAACTTCTTTTTCTCTCTTTTTAACTTTCTTTTTAATTTTTAACTTCTTTTACTTTCTGTGCATTTTTCTTTCAGTATCAATTTCTTGCACTGCGTGATCTATGTTGATATACTTTGATATTTCTTGGCTTTTCTTTCTTTCTCTTCTCTTCCTCTTCCTTCTGCGACGCGGTTGTACTTCCTTGATATCACATTCCTTCTCCTGGCTCCAGATTTCTGATGCTCTTGCTGCCTCCCTCCCATTCTTTTCCTAACGATTAGTGTACTTCTTTGACCATAATCGGAATAATTAATTGATTTCAGCATGAGAATAAGCAATTGAAGAGCGATATGTCGCGCTTACTGGCTGGCCGCGGTTCAAGAGCATCGTCTCAAGCCTCTATCCCGATGCTTGGTGACGACGATCCCGTCTATGAAGCGCCACCGAGCAGCTCCAGTGGTAGCTATTCGAGCAAAAGTGAGTTGACAATGGCTAGATGGTCGTCGATTACAGGCTGGTTGCTTGTCGCTCCAGCGCCCTACTGAAAATGTTCTCTTGGACCTTTGGAAGAACTACCACATCGCGGTTTTCTATTTTGCTAAAGATACCTGACTTGAGGATAACTACGCCGATGGGTTCTCCTCTTGGCTTCTTCATAGGTCTTTTGATCCTGTAGCTCGATGGATATGTCTCTATAAGGATACAGTAGGATTTAGCGGGGACGGAGTCGAAGTCTTCAACAATTTCTTTTAGGAAGGTATACATTAATTGATTACAGGATCATCGGGCTGCAATTCGGTGAAGGTGACGGTGAATGTCGATTTGCGAGGCATGATCAGTAACGCTATTTGTCCTGACAATGAGATTATCATCGGCTTCCTGGCAATTCCTGGTAAAGAAGTTCCCTGGGAGGAACTCGACCAACAAATTTTCTCGCTTTTTGAGGTAGCCGCTCACATCATTTCAACGATTGCATCGTGGCATCACTTAAGGAATCACCACCTTTCAGGCCTATATCGCCCGAATAGATCCAGATCATCACCTTGGACTGCATTGCTCTGAAAGTGTAATTGGCTATCAGATGGGGGAGGTGGTTCGCGAGAAGGGTGGTAGCCCACCGGAACAAGTGCCTGGAGACGTTTTAGCCCCGACGACCACCGTAAGGATGTTCCTTAGGGGTGAGTATACTTGATGAACAGATCAGGTTATGTCTGCTCTTGATTGAAGCCTTTGCTGTCGCTTGCCCTCAGCATTTTTTCGATGTCCAATTTACCATCAGTACGGCATTGTTGATCAAAATATGACATTGAAATTAGATGAATTGCAGGTGCTGCTCAACACGCTGTGGATTCTCTTGTACTTGAATGCCTATTTCCTCGAACAATGCTCGAACAATTGCTCAAATTCTTGCTGTCACATAGGCGTTTGGTGCTTTCTGGAGCCACCGGCATAGGCAAAGTGGGTGGTCTTCTTTCAACATAATTATTTGCCGTATATATTGCTGTTGCCCCAACCTTACTCTGTTCTTTTCTTTTTCTCGAAACTGACCTCCTCTCTAATGCCCAATAAATAAATTTAGGCGTTTTGCTCAAATAAGAATTTGAATTTTATAAAACGGTTGTTTAGAGTAACCTCGCTCGCCAACTCGCTTCTTATCTCTCCATCAGAGTCGGTCTCGATCGCAATGGGGTTGTCGATGTGCGGATACCCGAAGATACCAGTGACAAAGAGATTATCAAAGTAGGAATTTCTCCAGCACCGCCACACTTATTTCTCTGCTCTGTACAGAAAATTGTACTATAATAATTTGTGGTTTTTGTCTCATAAGCTTCGGAGTGTAAGATTGTGAAAGGGGTTCATGAGGAGGTTTAAAAGAAAATTGGCTCCAACGCCCGAAGTTTCCGTTAGGACCTCGTCCATCGTCCAAAATGAGCTTCGTCGGGGTGACCTTATGCTTTGCTTTGAGTTTTGATCTGCTGTAATTCACGGATTACGTTTTCAAAATAAGCTGTAATCATGGCATACATACTCAGGAATATTGAAAGATTAGAGGTGGAGGTAGCCTCAAGCTGCCTCAATCATCTTGATCGGTTGAGAGTCAGGCTTCTTCAGTGTTGTCCTACAACCATTCTTGTTGTTTTCTTATTTGCTATTTTCGCCACAGTATGCGTTGCGATTGTTCCGCAAGGATGGCGAGTTGTGTGCAGAAGGCTTTTTCTTTAAGAGGGGCTCAAACCCCGTTCAGCATAAGCACCTGATCTGTCGGAGCCCCGTCCGAGTCCAAGAACCCTGCACCCTTGAACGAATTATCTCACATTATTTTTCTTCTACCCAATAGTTATTTTAGCTAATAGCAATAATTTTTTATTGTTTATTTTGTGGTAAAAGAATCCCTATAACACAACCCCCTAAAAGGTTTTGTAGTAACCGATGAGGCAGCATGCCTTCGATGATCCTCTTACATGCAGAACATATCAACGCGAATTGTTTTTGGAGTACAATGTACGCGACCATTTTAGGTGGAGAAACAGCTAGAAAGTCTCCTGAGATCAACTGATCCGTCGGTGGTTCTTATCGACAACATTCCTCGCCATCGTATCGCATTCGTGTCATCAGTCTTCTCATCCGTGGATCTTAGTCATGACGGTTTGTTTTTTTTTTTT